CCATTGTTATCAAATCCATTTTAATTTGACCTTAGCTAAAAACAAACATTATGATTAGATAGATAATGTTAGTTTTCAACCTTCATTACTTTATTTAAATATGCATTTATAATTTGTACATATTAAGTATATTTACTGATAATATTATTCCAACTCATTTTAAAAACATTTTCAATAGTATTATAATACTTAATTGTTCTTATTCTTAAGATGAGGCATCATTAACCATCTAAATGCATATATTTTATTTTGTATAGGTTTACAAAAGGTTATAGTATTTAAAAGGTTTTGGTATTTAAATTTACTGTTTTTTTGTACTCAGATAAAAATAATTCAACATTCCACCCTTCCACCAGACATAATTTTTAATTTTAAATAACTTTTAAAGTAATTATCCAAAACTTATTTTCATCCACTAAACTTCCAAACTGTCGCGATTTAAGAATCTTGTTGGCGGTTGAGCCGCGATTTAACACCACTTCTTATTATGGCCTAAAAAATGTATCACTTTTGTTCGCCTATTTAGTTGATAATCGATCAACTAGGGAACAGCGAAAGTTACACGGCTGACCTCACATGTTCAAATGCATTGCATTCAATAAAGGCTTAAAGGCCTAAGGCGACCTAAAAATATCGTTAAAGAATCTTAAATTTGAAAAAGAATAATACATTTACAATTATGTTTAAATTTTTTAAAATAACTTAAAGATGTTTAAATTTGTTATTGTGTGTTTGTTTTTTTCTAAATTAAAGATAGTTATTCCATTCAAATTCTTAACTTTAAAAAACTAAACAATTGTGTTTAAAACCTAATACATTTTAAATTATAATCTGATTGTCTGATTTGAATATTTCTAAAAATGCTTCATAAAATACACACGAACATAAACTTTAAATAGCAATAACTTTTGAACAGTATGTTATAAAAAACTTTTTTAACATTTGTGTATTTAAAATATTAATCGACTACAGAATATCCCAACAAATTTAGGGGTTCCCGGTTTAAATTTTAAAAGTTAATACCATGCTTGCGCTAACTACTTATAGTATGATTTTAGATTCAAGCGTTAAATGTGCCTAAAATAAAACCTACCAATATCCAAATATCTGAATTTGAAAAATCAAAATCAGCTCTAAAATTTAGACGTTTTCTTCATATTTTAGATATCTTACAATGTAATATGGCTAAAATCAATTTAAATATAATACAAAAATAAATTTGTTTAATTTATGTATTCGAAAAAGTGACTAAAGGCATGATATAGTTGATATGATATAGTTTTAAAATGTTGATTAATAGGTAGATTTTCATTGAGAATGGCTCAAAGGTAACAATCATCTTTTTACCCGTTGTAAGATTAAACTTTAATTCTTAAATAATATTAATGTATCATATTTCATGCAATAAAAACACTGTAAAAAAATGTGGGTTTTTATTAATATGAGATGGTATATTTGCTAACTTTAGTGCCTTGTAAAGGTTAACTACATAAAGTACTAAGACATGTTTGAAAAATAAAATAAAAACACGTATTTAATATTTTTAGTAAAACTTACTTGTTGAAATAGAAAATTCATGTTTTTGATTGCTGTTGAAATTATATAGTTTCAGTGTGTAAGTCTTAAACACAAATGGTAAATTTCTAATATTCTTGTTCCTTTTATACGTTTTTCTTAAAATTAAATTTTTTGTATATATTATACCTATTAATGTTTATTTCAATTGTTTCTCTTCAATTCAGACTTTAATTAAAATTATATAATAATTTTTTAATTTTTTATATAAATGCAAATATTTTTTACAAAATTTAATATTTTTCATTAATTTTTTTTCACATAATTAAATTTTTACATTTAACTTCTTATAGCGGGGAATTTTAATGTCACTATAATATACTAAAAGACACTAAATAGAATAAATAGCTAACGCAAATGCACAACGCATTATGAATTTAATTTTTGTATTATTTTAAAAGAATATAAAGCTTAGAACATCTATAATACGGCCAAGTAAATGAAAATTATAAAAAATTCATTAATTATATTATGATACAAATTACTTACTCGAAAGCAGCATCCATTTTACATAAACAGCGTGGAAGTACAAACAAAATGGTAAAATATCTCGTAATAGATGAAAATATAAATAAATGCCAAAAATAGACTTCTAATAACTTTCTTTAAGTTTAACAATTCTTAGCATTTTCTTGATGGTTTTGATGTGAATAGGTAATTATAACTATAATTACCCATTCACAAATATTGGTACCTAACATTTCAAATGTTTCTTTTTCTTCAATAATCTATTTTAAATGATTTATGATTTATGTTATCCACAAAAAAAATCTTCCTTCAACTGTATGTATAATAATTCCAACTCTGTTCATAATTTAATATATCAGTTTGAGGTTATCTATGTTAAACGGTTTTTTACAGTTGATTGATTGAATAATTTGTTAGTTTAACAAAAACAGACTTCTAATAACTTATTTAAGTTTAACAATTCTTAGCATTTTCTTGATTGTTTTAATAGGTAATATTTAATTTAGTTTAACACGAATTGACCTTGCCCGATATTATGATTTTATCATTTATGGTATATTTTATGGTCTTGCAGTTTTAAATGATTGTACTTTTGATTTTGATTAATGAAATCATACTTTATGAGTTATTATGATGGTATAAATACTGTTTTTGTATTATATAGCATATACTAGTTTATAAATGTTTGGGTAATATTTTTAAGAATTTTTTTTTATATAAATTTTATTTTATTGACATAATGTGTACATTATAAAAAATACTATTTATGTACCGAAACATAAGGCGTTGATTTTTATGCGTATCTACAAGGTAAGTATACTACTTTATTGGAGTTACATAACTAACACCAAAAACTATAAAATAAAGGATTTCATGACTTGTATGTCATTAAATCTATTGTTATATAACCTTTTTCTTTAAATGACCCACTATGTGTTATAAAAAATTGTGCCTAGTTGCGAAAAATAATGTTTTCGGTTGCTGATGAAATTATATTATACAGGTATCCCACAAAAAAAGACAAATGAAATAACTTTTTTTTTTTTTATATTAAGATAAATACAGGCTTTAACGATTTAGTTATTATCCTAAGTGTACATTCTATATAGGAAATTAAAAATTATTTATACACCGCGTGTAGGCTTAATCTATATTATCTTTTGTTTAAGTGAATATTTTTAACTTTTTTTTTTCAATCAATTTATACTCATTTGCACTATAAGCACCATATTTTTTATTGCACTTTACTATTTTATTATTTTTAATTATTCAAAATTTGAGTAAAGTTTCACGTTTAAACACTCAAAAGTCAAAATTCAAAAAATAATCAAAAACGTTGTCAAATTGATCACAACAAGGTGTGACACATTTTCAATGTTCAAAAGAATTTTTTAGAATCTTATACTAAAACATTTTCTTGTCATTAATTAATATGACTTAATTTTTTCTTGAAATTTAATTAAATCAAACAGTTAACTAACTAGTTTTTGATTTCCATCCGTGATGATTATGTTCACCGTGATGGTCAATTTTTTTCTTATACTTTCTAGAGAAATCTAACATCATAAACAACATAAAATAATATTTTTTTTTTATTTGACGCATTCAAGGGCACATGACAAAGATAGTTAAAGTTATACAAATAGGAATAAAAATGTAATAACATTTTTTAGCTTTACACTAAGATCCTTAATATGCGAAACATTTATAAGATTAGCACTATACGTAAACAGTTCAAAAGATCGTTTACGACAAAACGCGATGTGAAAATGTTTAGAGGTATATTATAAACATAGACCATTTGACATTTACAACACACCAGTTATAAACTCTGTTCAAATTCTCCTGCTAATTGCGAAAATAAAAACAACTCAACAAACACTTGTATAGAATTTACATCATCGGCCAAATAGAAACAGCAAGAATGATGGAATAAATCAGCAATATCATAGATACACATTTAGAATAGTTATGTAGATAAGTGCCCACGCTAGAAGACTCCACAGACAACACGTATTCCGGAAGAAATAACATTATTAATAATAACTTGATGCGACCTACCTGAAGGTTGAGAACCAAAACATTTAAAATAAGGGTTCTTCAGTTCGACTTTTTTTAATTTATCAATTAAAACGTTATAGATTTAATGAGGCAAACATTAGTTTATATCAATAAAAAATGGCATCTACACGCCCTCTGATCGCAACAGTAGAAACAATATCTAAATAAAATACAACTAGATTTAGCAATTGTCGATTTAATATTAAACAAAATTATTGTTATAATATTGATTATAAATTAAAATCGTACAATTTGTTCTTGTGGTACACTATTGCCAATCAACATAAAGAGTATTAAGATAAATATGAAAGGGTGTTAAATTATTCGAATTAATACATATTAATAAAAAAAATGTACATAGAACCCAGTGCTTTTTTCTACTCCAAAACATTTTCCAGCTTACACCATTTTATTTTTTTAATTTAAGATATTTTCGTTAACTATACATCCTATTATACAACATTGAAATCCAATAAAAATATCCTGAGAAACAAAACACTTCGTATTATGAATTTATGAATTTCATAGAGTTTTGATTCTTTATGTAAAATTACGTTAATAACAAAAAAAAGTGTATTTAAATTTGGTTTTAAGACAGTAAACAATCTCAGTAAGTTCTACTCAATTACAAAATACCTAAATACTATAAACTACTCATTACTTTCTTGATTCTATTTTAACGTAACATCCGTTGATAAATTCCAGTGCTATGGTACACGATAGTTTAAGTTCCTTTGGCGTAGGGCATTTTTCTGATGGCGAAAAACGGTAGGACCTTACAAGAGTAGATATCGCAGTCTTCATTTGAAGCATTGCGTATTTCATTCCAATACAGTTTCTTGTGCCGCCACTAAAAGGAATGTACGCATAAGGATGACGACTGCGACACACGTCAGGTAAGAAGTTGTCAGGATTAAATTTTTCTGGATCCTTATAGCTTTGTGGATTTAAATGCAAACAATAAATGGGAATCGCAATAATTGTGTCTGTAACAAAATAATATTTGACAACTATTAATAAGGTTCTGTGAAGACATGTAATTTAAAAACATTTATTTTTTATTTTTAATAGGTTCTACCCGCCGGGATTAGATATTTTCCAATCATCATTTCGTTTTCTACTTGTCTGAGCACTAGAGGAACAGCTGGATAAAGTCGCATGGTTTCTTTGATAACGCGTTCTAAGTATTCCATTTTTTGTAAATCCTCGTATGTAGGCGGTCTGTTTAAATTACCATCCGAAAATATTGAATTTATTTCTTGATACACCTAGGGTCAAATATGATTAAATAATTTTAATTTTTAATAAATATGGAATTGTAACTTATTACAGAAATAATTACAATTTGTTGAACATCTTGATGATGAGCCAGCATAAATATAATTAATGAATTTGCTTTTGCAGTTGTTTCATGTCCCGCTTAAACAAAAATTTGGAAATAGTGCTTCTTATTGTAAGTAAAAAAATTATTTTTGGGGGTAGGGTTTTGATTTTGAAGAGAATGAGATAAGTTGTTTCCTTATTTGTTATTATAAGAAGAACATATGATGTATTCAAAAGTTTTACAAGTATAATAACAGAAACATAACAATAAATATTGCATCAATGAAATACCAATATTTTTAACTAAAAAAAAAGCTTGAACACATTGCTAAATTTTACCTTTTACCGCAATAGAATTTAAATATATTGTTTACCACTTATAATGGTTATAAGTTCGTCCCGCATTTCTTCATGTGATATTTGATGTTCGTTTGCTAACAGAATTTCAATTAAAGATTTAACCTTTTGATAACTACAATCTTCGTCACGACACCCGTTAATCATAGTTTTTGCTTTTTCATTTAGTTCGACTTTTTTCTTCTGGATTAAACCATTTACAAATTTATGCATTAAATGTTGACTATTTCGTTGTTCATGTTTTTTCGATGACAGCGAAAACAAACTCGATATTAAAAACCACGGATTCGAAATTCTGTATGCAAAGATCTAAAACAAAACAGTAAGCTGCATAACAGAATTTAATTACAACATTGTTAGAGCATAATAATATTTTCTCAGTTTCGCGTGATCTATTGAGGCAGCTATAAAAAATAAACTAAAAACAAATAATTTTTACTTCTGCTAGACGTTCATAGTTATTTCGGAAATCATGGTTTTCTTTGTTTTGTGAATTAAATTCTTCTCCCAACGCTGTTCTTCCAATAGTGTCCATCGATGCTAGTTCGAATGCATAGCTTATTTCACATTCAAATGAATTGCTTTTACTATTTTTACTCAATATGTGTTCGAGAATTTTGGATTCTTCGTAGAATAAAGTAATCAATGATTTTAAATTTGAATAATTTAGCCATTGATTTATAATTTTCCTAAATAACGTACGTTTTATTAATTATTCATCTCCTTTAAATAGGAACAGTTTGATTCATTAGTTTCTTATAAAATATTTATTATCATGATATTATATAATATATCATATATAGAAGGAGTGGCTGATTGGGTAAGGCGACAGCGTGTTAACGCTCACTGTCGCCGGTTCGACATCTCATGATGGCAGCGTCGGCCCTGCATGGCCCGTTCAGCTACATGATGATAATTAGTATATATATTTATAAATTACAATATTTTACCTGTTTTTTTTATAGACATGAACATTGTTAGTTGTAATTAGCCCCTTAGCCGAGAAAACATCTTCAATTAACGAATAAGGTATATCCTTTTGAAAACAATTGAAACTATTCATTACTATTTCTATATCTTTTGCGTTGGATATACAAACAACCAGCTTGTTAAACAACCAAAATTTAAATAATGAATGCTCGTACCTTTAACATATAGAGCTCGTTTTATAATTTGTCTATAAATACATATATTATATATTTAAACAATTAACATAATAATCACAATCAAAGATTCTTGCATTTAATCCAATTTTAATATATTATACCTTAAAGTTCTGTAGCATGTATGTGTTTCTAAAGACATTTGTGTTAATAATTTGGGCCATAGTAAAAAGCTAACTTTTCCCGAATTGATCATCACATTTCGTTGAAAAAATCGTGATGATATTCATTAACGGGTTAGTTTTAACTATTTTATCTTTAAACTCCCATACTTAAGTAAATATATGTTATGGATAATAATTTAAATTGTTAATTATCTCGGGTTTGTTTTTTGTTTGGTTCAAGGCTACATTATTCCACAAAATGTATGCAAGTAAACTAAGAGTATTTACTTTCTTGTATAATAATAAGCTGGTCTTACTACATTGTCTTTATAGTATTTCACAAATTGGATGAGACACGTATCAATTGTTTATTAACTTAAAAATGTTTTCAGTAATTAGACAACATTATACCACAAAACACCACATGTTTATTCACGATTACTTACTTCTTGCATAATAGTTTCACATTCTCTAAAAACTTTTCTTGTCCTCGTGTTACAATCGTTGGACTTCCAACAATAAAATTACCTTTTGGACCAGGTATTTGAGCAGCCAAAGTAATTTGCCTTCGGTTTTTTATCCTTTGAATAATTACTACCGATGTAACTAACACAAGTGTAAGTATAATGAATTGAAAATAACTCATATTATAAATCTGAAAATTAAGCAAAATATGAATTAGAAACATATAACTTACAGTGTTTTATGGCTCAAGTCAATCTAAATTGCTGAAGAATTCATATAGATATACAGTGTGTACTTTTTAATGATATTTTGGTTCCACGGTTAACTACATAAAGTACTTTACATGAAGTGTATTTAATTTTTGGTAGTAAAACTTACTTGTTGAAACACGAAAACCATGTTTTCGATGCTGATAAAATTATATGGTTGTACAGTGTGTAAGTTTTAAACACAAATAGTAAGTCTCTGATAATCTGGTTACTTATATAAGTTTCCCTTGGAATTTAATTTATTGTATATATTATGTTAATTCATTTTTATTTCCACGGTTTCTCTTCCGTAATAATTCTACAATAATTAAAGGTATATAAAAATTTGTTGATTTTTAATTTAAATGTGAATATTTCATCCTTAATTTTATATAATATGCTTCAGTGAATTTTGAAAAACTTGAAAAAAATGTTTTAATTAAACTTGGAAACTAGCGTTTGGCAATGAGTTATTCAAAATAACCTAGTAGGAAATTTTGACTTATGTATATTATACTTTTTTTAATTAATTAGCAAGCTAAAAAGACGTTACGCAATAATACACATTATATCAAATTATAATAAAACGTAAATAAGAAGCCCTTATATTAGAAAGACGCTAGGTTCTATTTAAACCTACAACAGGTTATAAAATATTGTCAGAAAGTATAAAATATTATTGTATTAAAAAGTATGTTGTTTTTTTTTTACAAATGCGGGTCATGAGTATTATGTTGTTCTAACTTTCTACTGTATAAACACTATTATTTACTAATATTTTTTAATTAATTGATTTAGCAAAGATATTGGCTTGACAAAGTGTTTTATTAAGGATAAGACACTTAGTATCTCTTACAATATCCGCAATTTTATCAATTTTCGTTTTATGATGCATATTAGAGTCTCAATTTTTTACATCGTCCAAATTTTTTAGTCTGAATCTATGTTTCAAATTTCAAAAGCTGATTATAAGAGGAAGCAGATAGGTATATGAGAGTTAGAAAAACCGTTGGAATTGGTTCGTGAAAGTTACACTGATATTGGTCGAATTTGGCACGCGTACAGATGAGCGGTCAGTAATAACTAATAAAAAAAAACTAACATAATGTTTAGATAGATAATGTTATTTTTTAACCTTCATTATTTTATTAAAATATGCTTTTATAATCTGTACAAATGTATATTTACAGTTAATAAAACTTTATTTTAAAATATTTTTCCATTGTATTATAATACGTAATTGTTTTTATTCTTATGATGAGACATCATTAACCATCTAAATGCATACAATTTATTTTGTATAGGTATATAAAAGGTTATAGTATTTAAATTTACTGTTTTTTTGTACTCAGATAAAAATAATTCAACATTCCACCCTTCCACCAGACATAAATTTTAATTTTAAATAACTTTTAATCTAATTACCCAAAACTTATTTTTAACCACTAAACTTCCAAGCTATCGCGATTTAATAATCTTGTTGGCGGCTGAACCGCGGTTTAACACCACTTCCTATTATGGCCTAAGACAATTTGTTTGTTCGCCTATTTAGTTGATAATCGATCAACTAGAGAACAGCGAAAGTTACGCGGCTGACCTCACATGTTTAAATGCATTGCATTGAATAAAGGCTTAAAGGCCTAAGGTGACCTAAAAATATCGTAAAAGAATCTTAAATTTAAAAAAGAATAATACATATACAATTATGTTTAATTTTTTTTTAAATAACTTAAAGGTGCATTGCTGTAAAATTTGTTATTGTGTGTTTGTACTTTTTTCTAAATTAAATATAGTTATTCCATTAGAATTCTTAACTTTAAAAAACTACACAATTTTGTTTAAAACATAATACATTTTAAATTATAATCTGATTGTCTGATTTTAATATTTCTAAAAATGCTTCATAATATACATCACGAACATAAACTTTAAATAGCAATAACTTTTGAACAGTATGTTATAAAAAACTTTTTTAACATTTGTGTATTTAAAATATTAATCGTACAATGAGTATTGCTTAAAGGTAATAATAATCTTTTTATCCGTTTTAAGATTAAAGTTTAATACATTCATAATATTGACGATATCATAGTTTGAAGCAATAAAGCAGCTGTCAAAATATAAACATTTTTAAATAATATCAAATGCCTACGTTTAGTTATAAGTTTTTTTTGGAGTTTAATTTAGCGTGATCTTAATATGATATATGCTCTATGAATGTTGTATACATATATATAGTATTATTATAGAAAAACTCTTTATTCCATCTATGATGAGCAAAATCATATATTGACATATAAGTAAGTATATAAGTTATCCTAAATATCAATTCCTAATATGTCTTGTAAAGGTTCACTACATAAAGTACTAAAATATTAAATGTATTTATTTTTGGTAGTAAAACTTAATTGTTGAAATGGAAAATTCATGTTTTTGGTTGCTGATGAAATTATATAGTTATACATTGTGTAAGTCTTAAACATAAATAGTAAATTTCTGATATTCTTTTTCCTTTTATACGTTTTTCTTGGAATTTAATTTAGTGTATATATTATTATGTCAATACATTTTTATTTCTATTGTTTTTCTTAGATTCAGTCAGTAATGAAATGTACACAGGTAATAATTTTATTACATATGTAATATTCTTCATTATATTTTTTTCTCATAATGAATTTGTACATTTAACTTTTAAATGGAGAATTTTAATGACACATACTACACTATACTAAAAGACTTTCATTGTTTCATACTAAAACCTATACATAACCTTTTTGCACCCCCGCTAAAATGTAACATAACTCAAAAAACATGATTTTTGAGATTATAGCATATTTTAAATAAATATCATATCATTATTGTGTAAAAACGTCATAAGTCTATTATTAGTTTTCACCGATAAATGGCGCACGTCACTTATGGTATAACATTATTTTACATTATGTTGTCCTTTTTTAAATGACTTTATTAAAAAATGGCATTTTTCCAGTTATGTCACTTTTTAAGCGTGGCTGCTATATATTAAAAAAATAACTATACTAAAAAAATGTATTACAAATTACAATACAAATTGCACACATCTGTTTTTATTAGCTAATTAAATATATTAACCAAACTCTTCTTAATATCAAATCAAACAAATTTATACTGAACTAAAAATTAAGGATTATTAATATACTAATTTCATAAAAACAATATAAGATGTTATTATTATTATGATAATTTTGATATTTTTTCAAAGGGATTATTACTGACTTGTGTCAGCTGTGTGATTTTTATACTTCTAGAATGAATACAGCTATGTAGAGCGACATAATTTTAAATGTACTAGCCAAATTATCCTTAAAATCAAATCAATTTTATTCTGAAAAAGAAGCACACAAATCTCCTGTTTCGGAATAATTATTGGATACTGACCATAGCATAAAACCATTTACAAATTAAAATAGTTCTAAAGAACTTAATATTTGAGAAGCAATAGTAACTCTCTGTTATAATATTTTCTTAAAAAACGATTTTGTTTAATTTTACTCACGATACCTTGTTATACTACACTTTGGTGTTTTTTAATTTAATATTAAGTTTGGCTCTTTAGCCTGTTAATTTATTTTTTAAATATAGTACAATTAATACGCATAATGAATACAAAGTATGTTTAGTAAAAAATAATGTGAACTACCAAGTTGCTAATTTCAAAAACTACGTTAGTAAAATTGTATATTGCTCTACATTTAATAAAAAAAAACAATTGTTTTAATTAACCTTGGGGTTTCATACTAGCGATATAAAAAGTGTTCTTGGAAATTTCATAGTGGAAATTAAATTTTACCTACCTAGTGGGAAATTTTTAAATATATATTTTAACAACCAATTAAATTTTAATAAAAACCAATACCACATCTATAACATCTATAACATCTATTTATAGTATAGTTTAATAGCATAATAAATATAGCTAAATCTAAAAATAACTATTTGTTAAGTATTTTATTTTCATTAATATTTAAATATATATTATAGACACATTATTATGATTCCTATTATTTTAATAGTTTTTAAAAAATTAAGTAATTATTGACGATTCAAGAATAATTAGTAAATAGGAATCACGATAATAGTGTGTATAACAGATATTTATATTTAATATTCAATAGATAATTATTATTATTATTAAATATCGAGAAACGAAGAAATTTAAATAAATGTTTTTCTTTTCTTTGGTGTTATCTGCAGTGATTACATATTTTGTATCGTCGTTTCATTTTCTACTTTCTTGGCCGCCAGGGTTGCATACCTTTAATTATTGTAGAATTATTACGGAAGAGAAACCGTGGAAATAAAAATGAATCAACATAATATATACAATAAATAAAATTCCAAGGAAAACTTATATAAGGAACCAGATTATCAGAAATTTACTATTTGTGTTTAAAACATACACACTGTACAACTATACAATTTCATCAGCACCGAAAACATGGTTTTCGTATTTCAACAAGAAAGTTTTACTACCAAAATTTGGCATTAAAGTATTCCACCTGTTAATATTTATAAATCTTGATTTTTTTACAATGTTTTAGTGTCTCAAATATTAAATCATGCATATTATTTAAGTATTAAAGTTCAAACTTAAAACGGGCAGGAGCATTAATATTTCCTTTAAGCAATAATCAAAAAAACTCCACTTATTATTCAAAATTTTTAAATTATAACAATCACTTCATGCCTTAGGTCACTTTCTTAAATAAATAATGTTAAAATATTTAATTTTTGTATTATATTGTTGAATGTTGAATTATTTTTATCTGAGCACAGGAAAAATAGTCTTGATCATCAATTTAAATATAACCTTTTATAAATCTATACCAAATAAAATATATGCATTAAGTTAATGATGCCTCATTTCAAGAATAAGAACAATTACGTATTATAATACAATTGAAAGTTATTTTAAGTTTAAGTTATATTAACTGTAAATATACACATGTACAAATTATAAAAGAATACTTTAGTAAAATAATGAAGTTTAAAAAATAACATTTTCTATCTAAACTTTATTTTTATTTTTAAAAAATTTCATCAAGATCGGTTAAGCAGTTTCAGAGTTCATCGCAAACAAACATTGTGACTGGAGATTTTCATATAATATATAAAGATAGATAACTTACTTTCTTAAACATTTAAATATTCAAAAGTAATTATAAAAATTAGAAATTTGAAGGTTTTTTTTAAGTAGG